CAGAGCTCACCGAGAAGGGCGACGTTGAGGACGCCCGTTGGGCAACACAGCTTCTGCTGGCAGTGACTGGCAAGAGGGCGTGGTTCAAAATCATGGTGGCAGCAATGGCAGGGGATGCCATGATGCTTTGCCAAAAGTTCATCCGGAAAGACGATACAGCGTCAACGGAAGTTTACTTCAAAGCCTCCGAGGCAGGGAGAGTTATGCTCAAGTAGCGCAGGGATTGCTTTCCTGATTGTGCCATGTGCCAGGTGCAGGAGGTGCTGCGCGAGATCAGAGTCCTCTTCAAGGATGAAGCCATCTTGCACAATGATGCTGCTGCCACTTTGACAGCCATGACCCGGAAGTCTCTGTCCAGAGTCAGCGTCATGACCTACAGGCAAGGTCGTGCCCAAGTTGCTTGCGGCATTCCTGAGGGCAAGATTGAAGATCTGCGTACAGTGTCACATGAGATCTGTGAGCTGTTTGAGGTGTTCTTTGCCACCAATTTTCCTGAGTACGAAGAGGTCAATGCCTATTCAGCTCTACGACTGGATGGAGGGCTCACTTGGCCACAGCGTCGAACGATGTTGAAAACCATCGCAATGATGGAAAATATTTCTCCTGATGATTTGTGGTGTCTTGGGCAGCAAATTCATTCTAACTGTTAGCGTTGTTGTATGTCGCAACTAGGAAAAGATGGGTTGAACCTGGTGCCTAGTTAATGCTGGCAACAGAGGAAACAACTCGTGGGCAACTTGGACGGAGAGGGGCCGACCATGGGATTGTGGGCACGAGCTGATTTCTACTACAAAAACCCTGTGGATGCCGCCAAAACAGAAGGAGAGTCAAACAAGGCTTTGCTCGAGAGATACGGTGACACCAGTGTCGCTTGGCTGAGGACGCTTCAATCTTTGGATCCTCGTCAACGCCGTGTGCGTCCCCTGGCTGTCAGAGTCATCATCAACAGCCTCACCCTTCTCACAGGGACGCAAAATGTGGAAAGGTTTTTGGGGCAAGTTCGGCTCATTGAGCTGAAACACAGGGCCCGTGCTTTGGGCAATTCCGTCTTGGAAGCGTCACTCAAACTGAACACACAGAACTTTCATGGCCGGAGAGTCAATGGACGTTTCGATATCGAGGAGTTAATCCTTGGGCCAGCTCAATCAGCTGCAAAGAATGTGCAGTATAGAGCTTCGAGATTCGCTGTTCAGTGTCAGCAGGCGTACCGCGAGTTCTTTGGGGACCGGAAGCTGGCTTCTCGCACTTTGGATCAGCCAGCAAGTCGATCTGCTGCAGCTCCACCTTTGGGCCGTGTCCAGTCAGTGTCAGGGTCAGGCACTACACTTTCTGGTGAGAAAGCCAAGCATACGCAAGCAGTCCAGGACATGGTTGCGAAGTCTGGCGAAACATGTTCCCTTCAGCCTGTTGCAGATGCTTTGGCAGACGTTGCCGCAGCACGTTCTTCTGCAAGTTCTGCACCTGCTGGCCGGAAGCGTGCTGCCGAGCAAACAGTGGATGACTCAGCTGTGCCACAGACGATGCTGGGCCATTGTTTACATTATTGGTTTTTTGTCTTGAAGCCACCACACTCCAGATGTAACTCGATCTCCTTTCATTTCGGCGTCCAAGGAAGCATGCCCGGCATGAAGAGATCATCGCTGGTATGGAAAAGGTCCGTTCAAAGCATGAAGCGATGGTGAAGGCGATGCCGCCAGGTGAGGTAGTTCCATACGCTGATGGGTTGGGGCGAGTGTACCGTTTGAAGGTGCCTGCTCCTTCTCTGGACGCAATACCAGCGTCAACTTTGCCAGAGATCATTAATGTTTACTGTGGTCCTGACGTCCGTCTGCCAATTTGGCGTCGGTACCTTCCCACAAAGCAGATTGCCAAAAGCAATGTTGTGGCAGTGTCAAACCTGCCTGATGCCTTGTACTCAGAGCTTGGGCTGTTGGCTCGGCTGCATGGATGCCGCTTAGCTGACATGCAGTGGCTTCGAAGTAAGATGAAGGATGGCCAGTGTTTGGCATTCAGCAGGGCCTTGTCAATGCACCTGTATTTCTGGCTGACACCCGGGTTTTGCGAAGAATTCCCGTCAGAGTCAAGGATCTTGCTGGAAGAAGCCGCAGGGTCAGTGTCAGATTCTCGCTTGGTTGTTTGCAATGGGAATATTCCAGACAAACCCAAACACCCGAGGCTTAGCTTTGAGGTAGTTCGCGATGCCGATTTGAAGTCATCCAACCAAGTGTCATATCAAGGGCTGCTCGCGAAACTTTCGAATCTGAGGCGATGCTGAGAAAAAGGTGTGTGTGCAGTTTGGTAGTCCTGCCAGCAGAAATCTGGACAAAAAGTTAGACTTTTTCAGCCCGAGCGAGAGTGAAGCAAG